TATATATATATTTTAAGTGTATATTGTTATTAATGTATACTTATATATACTTACATATATATTTCTAATGTATACTATATATAATTATAGCATGATATGGTCATTAATGGAGCAAGACTCCTATCAACTTAAGTGGATAGGGAATAGTTGTCCACCAAACTTTCTATCCACATATATATATATATATAAAAAGTCACTTCATATCATGCAAGGATCCCTAGGAAACATCTAATGGTTAAGAAGTTATATATATAAAAAGTCACTTCATATCATGCAAGGATCCCTAGGAAACATCTAATGGTTAAGAAGTTTGGTGGATGTCAACTTAAGTTGACACAAGTTTTGATCCCTAGGAAACATCTAATGGTTAAGAAGTTTGGTGGATGTCAACTTAAGTTGACACAAGTTTTCTTTGTCATTAATGTATACTTATATATACTTACATATAATATATAGCTATATTAATATGTAAATATATATTAATACATACTTATATGATATAATGAGATTAATCTAAATTTTAATCAAATTTTAGCCAAAAAAATTAAAAACCAGTCTCGGCTCATAGCCCGACCCGGTTTGGCCCGGACTTGGACCCAGGCCCGGCACGGGCATCCCGAGTCCAGATCCAGGCTCGGCATTTTGCTCGACCCGGACCAGGAAATCCGGGCCGGGCCGAGCTTGGCCGGCCTGTTTGGACAACTCTACTTAGATCTTTCGTGTTATAAGGTCTTTTATGATGGGTTTTTTATAAGGACTTTTATGTTATAAGAAGTTGCCACCTTGAATTTTATAAGGACTTCTATGTTATAAGAAGTTGTCAAGTTGAATTTTATAAGGACTTTCATATTGGGTTTTCTTTATATGTCCCTTAGATCTTTCATATTTTAGATTAGTCCATCAATCCGTGAGAACTGCTCTTGGGGCCTTAAATTCTATACTAATTTTGAAATTAGTCCCTCCTATCAAGAGTAGAAGTAACAATTGGAAGGATTACCAAGTAAAACTATTGCTGTGGATAGTCAGCTTCGATTACTCATAATTTGTTTCGAATTAATTGATGTTTCTTCTCTTGATTAGAGGGACTAATTTCAAAATAACTACAGAATTGGGGGACCTAGTAGAAGTTTTGATGATGCGAGGGATGACTTCCAAATTAACTTAAGAATTGAAAGATATAATAGCAATTTTCATATTATGTGAGGGACTAATTTAAAAATATGGAAGACTAAAGGGACTCACATTGAAGATTACATGATTTTAATTATTACAACTTTATCCACAACATACAAATCTAAATTTATGACAATTAAAAGATGAAGGCATAATGCAAATGAATAGATTCAGAAATGAAATAGCATCAAGACCGTTCTGAGTAGTTGGTTTTGCCCATGAATAGTAGTACATTGCTCAATCATCACTGCACATTTCCAAGAGCCCAAGTTAATGCCCTAATATATACAGAAAAGATTTGATACAATATTTTTAAAAAAATGCTCAAAGAAACACAACATAAAAGAGGAAACAAATAATATTAAGAAATGTTGCCAAACATGTTAGTGCAAAAATTACTTTAGGGGGTGTTTGTTTACATGCAAGTGAAAGATGAAAGTGAGAAAATTAATTTTATTTAACAATTAAGGTGTTTGTTTTCATGTAAGTGGTTATGAAAGTGAGATGCAAGAAAGTTGTCACATATGATTTAATGCAATTTTGACTTCCCCTAAAAAAGTGGTGAAGTCACATGAAAGTGACAAAAAAATAACTAATTTAATTAAATAATTTTAATTATACTTTCTAATTAATCTTATTTTGTCATGTCATCTTCACATTGCACTTTCGATAATAATTTAAATTTCTAAACAAACACTGTATTTCACTTACGTGAAGACATGGATGCAAAAGTCATTTGCAAAAAAAATTAACTTACATATTTTAAATTCACTTTCAGATTGCCAAACAACCCCTTACTGAATACTCCACCTTTGTGGATTATAATCCAACTTGCCAAACATGTTTATAATGCAAATAGGGCAAATTGAAACGTACAAAGTTGGTTAGGCGGTGGAATTAAGTATAGTCCCGAGGGATGGAAACATAAACCAAGCAACAAACTTAGACTTCGTTTGGATACCATGATGTTATACTTGTTGTGTTTTTGTAAAAAACCACCATGGTTTTGTGTTTTCCCCTTAAAATATTTTCAAAACACAATGTTAAGTATTTTTGGTCAACACTAGTTTGACCCATTATAACATTAGTATTAAACATATTATTAATATATTCTATATTAATTACAATACAATATATTGTAAATAAAATTTTATAATATTTTGTTTACATTATTATAGTATTATAAGCATTAAATATAATAGAATATAATATTATATAATGTATTATAATATTATATTGTACTTTAATGAGTTATATTATATTATAATTATTATGTATTATTTTCAAATAATTATATATTTAATTATTTTGGTATATCAATTTGTTATTGTTGTATATTATATAATATTATTTTATTATTAATATAATAGAATATTATACTATTATCCATATAATATAATATTATATTGAGTAAGACTCCTATCAACTTAAGTTGATGTCCACCAAACTTCCTAGCCACTCATTTATTAATATAAAAAAAATTCATATCATGCAAGGATCCCTATGCAATATGAGTGGCTAAAAAGTTTGGTGGATAATTTTTTGCTATCCACTTAAGTTGACACAAGTTTTGCTCATATTATTAATAATGTTAATATTATGTTATTACTAGTATGTTATTAATAAATTAATATATTATAAATATTTTAATATTATATAATATATTATAGTTTTAATATGTTATTATATAATATTTTATAATTATTAATTTATTATACTTTATTTATTAAAAGGTTAATAATATTATAGCAATTATACTATTGTATAGTATATAATTATGCCATTATTATGTTATTATTTATTAACAATACCTTTTTTTTATTATTTTTATTAGTTTATTTATATTTTTTATTATTTATTTATTATATAATACATTATTAACATATTAAATATTAGTATTTAATATGTTATTATATTATTATATAATATATTTATTTATTATATTTTTATATTATTTAATAAATATTACTAATATATTAAATTAACTGTAATATAGTATAGTATAGTATAATATAATAAGCATGTTGATAATAACTCTATATTAATTATATTTAATATATTATGTTAGATATTATATTAACTCATTCTCAAACTCGAAACCAAAACACCAAACTTAAAACACTTAAAAGGTGTTTTGAAATAAGTGTTGTGTTTTTTATTTGAAGATGATTTAGCTCAAAAAACATCATGGTTTTCAAACGCATGGTGTTTTGTTTTTGGCAAAAACATCATGGTATCCAAAATTGAGCATTAGTTTTTCATTATAATTCTCAAAGTTATACAAACATTCACTCAGATTGACAAGCTTACCAATCTCATAATGCAAGCTTAGTTGGACATGAGTAATTAAAGGACTTCATTTATAGGAGAAGTTAGACATGATAAAATCTTAACTTTATATTTGGTAAATGGTAATTATGCTGTGATGATTAATTTCTGGATTCTCAACGTTGGTAACCTATAAATGAGATTGTGATGTAATGATTACTCATGAAAGCAAATAAACACATAATAATGTGTAGGTAACGTCACTTGTAGTAACCATATCATTTGTTGCCTCTAGATGTTTTTGGTATAGACTAGTTTAGTGCACGTGTTTTGTGCTTTGCACACGAGCATATTTGTGAAATAATTAGTAATATCTTCTTTATCAAAATAAAAATCAAACTTTGTTGCTAATATCAATAAACGTAATATTTCGGTAGTTATTCTTTTAATAAATGTTTACTACTTTTTCAGGTGGCACTTAGTTCTTGTTAGGAAGTCCAAACAACAAAAAGCCTAAGTCCGATGCTTGCCATGCTCATTAATCCTCAAGTTTAATATTTTTAAATTAAAAATATAGTGATAGCTACACTACTCTACTTACATTATTTCTCTATTACAAAAGAGAAATTTTAATATCCAACGATTACAATGAGACACATGCATTATTGATATATGCACTTTTTCTATCAAAAGATAATAGAATTTTTTTTTTATCTTTTGTGTCGTCAACAATATTAGTTTGACTTGAAGGGTTCATGGACCTCACAATAAAAATAATATTAATATGTTTAATTATATAAAATTAAAGTTTTTGTAGATTCTATTTGTAATTTATTTAATATTATTTAAAAATATTTTTTATGAATTAATATTTTATATACTATATTATTATTTATCAATATATATTTTTTATTTGCGGTAGAAAAATCATATTATATAATTTATATATGTGAATATGTAGATATAACCTTCAAATTTATATACACTCAATTTTATACAACTAACATACAAATTTAAAAATAATTGCACATGAAGAAAACAAAAGATGGAAAAATCTTGAATTGAGCAACCTATGCTTTGATTTTCATAATAAAAAAATTATTTATTAAAATTCCTAATAAAAGATTTATGCATTGAATTAATGCTAGTGGATGAGGGATAAGTGATCATTAATTAAGTGAATTGGGGAATTATCAAACTTAGGAATTATAAACATTAAGAGG